GCGGGGGGGCTGCGGTCTGAACGCCCCCAGCGGTTTCCTGGGCGGCGGGTTTTTCGAGGGAAGCGGAGGCAGCCCGGGGAAGGGGGGCGGCGGGGAAGAGGTGGGCGCCTGGCGCAGGCTGACGCTCTGCTTTCGGCTCGGCTCCCCACATTCCAGAACAGGCCCCCAGCCCCATTCACTCAGGACCCCGCCCGGGCAGAGCCTGGCCTTTCTTTCTGCCAGAAGCCCTCTCCTCCAGGCTCTGCAGGCATCCGATTCCCCTGCGGCTGCCCTTCGGCGCACGTGGCCCAGCCGGCCGTCACTCAGACTCGCTGTCCCCAGTCAGCCCCAGGTATCAGTCCCTAGGAAGGTGAACTCCCAGCCGGGGCTTTCGTCCTCCTCTTAGGTCAAACACCGCACCCTCCGGGCATTCACCCACCTCCTGCTACTTCTCCCCCGAATGAAGATCTAGCCGGTCGCCTGAAGATTTGTTAGAACATGCGTTTCTGGGACGCTCCCCTATCCCCAGGAGGCCCCTGCAGGCCCCACACCTGCCCTCCGGTTCCCAATTCCAGTCCGGACCTGGGGGCGGAGGTGGGGGGGCGGCAGGCCCCCCAGGGGCCCTGCCGGGGTTTCGTGGGAGGGGACGGGGCCCCCAGTCAGCGTTTCTTGGCCGCAGCTGTCTCGGTGGTTTGGCGCTGTAAGGGCCCGGAGTTGGGGGGTAGGCGGGAATTTCAAGTCGGGGTTCCCCCCTCTGACTTCAGAGAGAGGTAGGGAACTGTGTGGATCCCGAGAAACGTGGGAGGGGGTCACTGAGGAACTGTCGGGAGGTTCCAGGACTGCCGAGGACCCCGTGGGGAATGGCATTTCGGCCGCTGAAAGACCCAGGTCGGGTCCAGCAAGACGTCGGACAGGACCCCCAGAGGTGGGGGAGGCGGCAGCCCGAGGCGCTGGGCGCCGTTCCCTTCTCTGTACCTAAGGGCTGGTGCCAAGGCGACCGCCCTTCTGTCGCCTCTGGAGGCCTTAGCTCTGCCCTCCCTGGGCCACTCTCCCGCCCCCTCTCTCCTCGGCCATGCCCCTCCTTCCCGAAGCAGCCCCCTCTTCATTTCGCTTGAGCATCTGGCACTGCCGCCTCGCCCCTGGCACAGCCCTTCCCCAGGCTACCGCGACCCCGACGGCAGCAGAAGGGAGGGAGGGAAAAACCCTGGCCTGGACCCCACCGGCTCCGGGCCCTCACCAACCAGAATCTGACCAGCGGGGCGGAGAAGAAAACCCGGAGCAATGACCAGCCTCCGGACCCAAGGGGGACATGGACGATAGGAAAACCCGGAGCGGACTTCTCGAGCGGGAGCGCCCCGCGCCTGCTGCTACCCCCTCCTTCTTATAGCCCCCCTAATTCTCCAGTGAGATAATGTCTGGGGTGGGGGGCTGTTTGGTTTGGCCTTGGCTCTCAGGGGTGCCTCACACTTTCCGCCCCTGGCTGGGGCGCAGGGCAGCAGCCCCGAGGCTGAGTCACGGCCGGAGAGAGGGGAGGGCGGGACCGGGGCTCCGCCCCTCCTCCTGCGCGGGGATCCCGGGTCAGCCCGGGTGAGGGCCAGGGCCCCCCTGGCGCCGCTCATTGTGGTCCAACAGGTTGAGCTGGTGTCCCGCGGAGCCACCTGCTGGAAAGGGAGGGAGGCCCCCTGCAGAGGGGGGTGGGGAGGTGAAAGCGAGTCCGGCTCGGTTCGGCCCGGCCTGCCGCGGGAAGCAGAACCTGACCCGAAGTGTCCGGATTTGATTCCGTTTCACACTAATGGGAGGGGCTCTTTGGGGGTACGCAGCGCTGCAGGCCCCGTTGGAAGAGTCCCTCACAGGCTACCTTCCTCAGTTGGGGGGCACTGAAGTACATATCCTGGTCCCCTCCAAACCCACGCACATATCGTAATATACCCAGGTCCCCTTCGTCACCTGGGTCTCTGAGCGAATCCACGTCAAGAGGTCCCTACCTCGCGGAGACTCAGTTTCTCCACACAGGGAACCCGCAGGATGGAGGCGGGGAGCGGGAGCGCGTCTCCCCCTCCCCCTTCGCGGTCCAGGCCCCTCCCCTCCGACAGTGCCAAGGCCGCATCGGGCACCGGCTGGAGCGCAGAGGCCGCTTGCCCAGGGCGCCGATCCCTCCCCGCGGGGCGCAGTCACGCGTGGGGAGGGACGCAGGGTGCCCGCAGCCCCAACTCCCTGCTCCCTCTGAGGGGGGTAGGGTGGGGCACAGGAGCTGGAGCCCGGGGCCTGCTGGCTTCCCCTCCCCCTACCTCCCGGGGCCCTGACCTGATTATAGCCCCTCACGGGACCCCCTCCCTTGGTCCCCTAAGATCCCGCCTCATCCCCACCTAGCCTGTCGTTCACCTCTCATACCCTTCCCTCCCAAGGTGCTGACCCTACAGAAGCCCCTCCTGGAGGAGTGGGAGTCCTTGATGGGGGTGCTCGGTGCCCCGGCCGCTGCGGACACTACCCCCTCCCCCTTCCCCTCCTCCAGGTTTCAGGCCAGCCCCTCGGCTCCGCCCCTCCCTGGCGGAACGCTGGGAGGGACCCATGTGGGATGGGCGGGTGCTCAGGCCAATGAGTAGGCAGGGCGGTGGAGTGCAGGGGCGGGGCGGAGCCACGGCGGAGGGCTGGATGGGGGTCCGGGGCGGAGCTCAAATTAAGGTGGACTGCGAGAAATAGGGGCTAGAAGAGAGAGAAGGGAGGGAGAAGGAGGGAGAGGGAGGGGGAGAGGAACCGCGGCAGGTGAAGGAAGAAAGAGAGAAGGAAAGAGGGAGGGGAGAGAGGAGGGTAGGAAAGGCTCGCAGAGCAAAGTAAGAGCTTGGAGGAAGGGAGCGAAAAAGGAGGGAGGGACCCATCTGCGCCCTGCAGGGACTGGCTGGACCAAGGGGTTGAAGTTTATGTCCTTATTGGGCGGAGGGAGGGGGGCCTGGGGGGGCGTTTGGTCATTTTGAAATCTCTAGTATAAATGCTTATGTGCTATAAATCATCATTGTACAATGCTAATTGAAATGCCCTGAAATGTTTTATAACATCAACAGTAGAAATACTAGTAATTTCTAGCTTTAGATTTTTTGAACAGTTTTGATTCTCTTCTAAATCACGGATCTCGGCGGCCGAGGGGGGGCGGGCGGCAGGAGGAGGCAGAGGGCTGCGGAGGAGGAGCCCCCCAGCAGAGAGCGGCGAGCGACTGACCGCGGCCTTCTGCCCAGGACCGGAGCAGGGCCCCAAGCCCCCCGGGCCTGGCGGGGGACGCGCTTCTCCCCACACACTGTGCCTCAGCTGCTCCGGCCAGCGGACCCAACAGCGGGGAGGTGAGTGTGCCCCACTTCTGTCTCCCGGCTCGGGGTCCCCCAGATTCCAGACTACTGCAGTGTCCTTCGTCCGTCCTGTGAGTGGGACCCCCCCACACACGCATGCAGACCCGATTCCCACCGCTCCCCTGCCCAGCGCTCTCCCAATACCGCGGCGCTTTGGGGTGACTTCAACCGGCAGGAAAGGTAGAGAAGGGAGCACGGCCGCCCTCGACCCGGGGCAGAGGGTCCCCAGAAACTTTCTCTGCACTTCTGGAATCAGACAGACGGGTGGCTCCGGGATGGAGAGAGGGCGAGGCAGCGCCGAGCGCTCCCCCAGTCTCCCCGGGACTTCAGGGAGAGACCCCCCGACCCCGAGTTGAGGGAATGGAAACGCTGACGGACTCTAACTAGGACAACGCGCTCCCCCCCGCACCGGCGCCCCCTGGCGCGGTGGGTTGGACCCGGGCCAGATGCATGGGGGGTGGGGGGGAGCGCAGGAGGAGCGGCGGCCGGCGGCCGGGGGGAAAGTTACCGGCTGGACTATTCGGTTTCTTGCGCTTTCAGAGCCGCGCTCTCTCTCGGGTAGTGGGGCTCAGCGACAGCCTCCGAGCGACATAGAACGACCCCTCTTTCCGCCGCCCCTCAACCCGAGTCCCACCGCTACCTTTTCAAAGCCAGCGCTTGCCCCCCCAGAACCCGAGAGCTAGGGTGGGCGGCTGGGAAGATTCTACCTACCACCCGCCCGCCCCCCACGGGCGCCGGCGCACCTGCCCCTACCCAGAGTGGGGGTCGCTACTGTGTTGTAGAGCCTACAGTGAGCGCCGCTGGCAGAGGGCTGCCATTCAGAGGGGTGGGGGGCGCTGCTTTCCACTTCCAGTTTTCTCTCCTCCCACCCCACCCCAAGTCAGCGAGCGACGTGTCCCGGCCAGAGCGAGGGGGGGCCGGGAGTGGGGGGGCGGCGTGGGCAGCGGGTTGTGCCCGGACACGTGCCTGCCCAGGCGCCCCGGCCTTGCTGGTGTTTGGAGAGAGGGCGGGTCCCTTGCCCCCCGCCCCGTACAACCCCCACGTATCAAAGGGCGGCTGAGACGTGGTGAGACCTCGGGGCGCCCTGGGGGGGGCGGGGAGCCTGGGTCCGGAGCAGGGGAGGGGCAGAGGCGCGGGTGCTAGCTGACCCACAGGAAACGAGCGCTGCTGACCTAGTTTGGGACACCGGAAGTGGGTGCTGGGGAGAGGGGGAGACCAGCAGGCTGTCCTGGCTTCCGGGCCAGGTGGCGGGCGTTCTTGAATTGACCCCCACCCGAATGCCGTGGAGACCCCTAGCTGCAGCAGAGAATGGGAATGAGTCAGCGCGGCTATTCCCCCTGCCCCCAACTTATTTCTGGAGGAGGGAGACAGTTTATCAGGGGCCAGGGGGCAAGGGGGAGCCCGAGTGGGCAGTGAGGGGTTAAGCCAGGAGGGAACTCTGTGTTCCCGGGGGATGTATGTGTGTGTGGGGGTGAGGCCTGGAGGATCATGGGGTGGCCTCCTGCTCCCCCCACACACCAACTGGTTTGGTCACCCCTGTACCCGCCTGGCACTGCTGGGAGAGCTGGCATGGAGTGGGCATCAGGCTGGAGAGGGACATATTTGCGACTGAGTTTGGGTGGTAGCTAGTGTTCCTCCTCAGTGGCGACTGGGGAGAAGGGCAGGGGGCTCCCCCTGGAGCAGCTGATGAAACAAGAAGAAATCTTTGTCAGTGCCTGCTGTCCCCGTCCCCCTGGGACTCCAGCTCCCCCAGCGTGCCTCTGTTACATGGTTGCTGTGGGCACGATGCAGCCTGCTGGCACCCCCAGACACTGTCCCCTCCCTTGGGTACCACACCCCCAGCCTTAGCCCAGGGGTCAGGAAGGGGTTAATGCCACCTGAAAGGGGCTCTGGGGTAGTGAGAAGGCAGTGCCCACTAGGCGCAGGTGTCAAGGAGAGAGGCCTGCTCTCATAGGGCACGCTCAGCACCACTCGGCTCTGGTGATATGCACCCCAGCGTCTGGGAGGCAGGTGCTGACCTCTTCCCCCATCCCTGTGGTGCCCCCTGGCACCCAGGGCCCCCAGCTCCTCCTGGCCTGGCGCCCGCCCTGGGAGGGCGCGGCGGGCAGCGGGGGCTGGGCTAACAATGCACCATCGGGCCCTTTGTGTGCCTGCACTTGGCACCCTGGGGAAGGGTGGGGGAAGGGGCACAGCGGGCATGGGGGGCGGAGTGCCTCCGAGGTGGGGACAGTGAAGGCTGGGGGAGAGAAGCAGAGAGTGAAAGCAGGTGGGGAGGAAAGGGAAGTAGGTCACGTAGGGCGCTGGCCCCCCGATTCCAAGCCAGGGCCGAGGGACCCAGCCCCGACCCTATGGCTGCCCAGATGGCATCATGCTGCCCAAGGCACAGCCTAGGACTGGGCATTCGGGGTCAGCAGTCACTGCCTAGGGGACTGCTCAGATAGAGGAGGCCTGGCCTGGTAACTGCCTCCTTCTTGGTGTCTTGAGAGACCCAGCTCTGGCCCAAGGCCGAGGCCCCCAGATGGGTAGCGAACGGCTCCAAGCGGGGCGCTGCCTTGGGACAGAAGCCTCTGGGCCTGCTGCAGGGCTTCCTGCCTCCGGCCGCTTGGGTCCCTGACCTTCTGGGAGTTAAGGCTGCCCTGCCACCAGGCCTTGGGGCCTATGCCTGTTTTGCCCTAGGGCTGAAGAGGAGGGTGGGGGAGGAAGGTGGGGACGGATAGGACCCTGGCATGGGGTGTGCCTGCCCTGGCCTCTTCCCCCTCCTTCTGCTGAGTAAACTCGTGAGCAAACTTGACGTTTTGCCCGGACAGTTTGAAGTTGCCTCGCCGCCCCCCCCACCCCCAGTCCTGCCAATACACAGGCGGCCAGGCGCCAAGGCGGGCCTGGGGGGCTGGGGGGAAGGGGTTAGAGCTACTGTAGTCCACCATCAGGGGCTTCGGAGAGGCGAGAGAGACCCCCCCCTCCCCCAGCCAGACCCAGGCCTTGGCAAGCCTTGGCTGGGACCTGTATGCATCTGTCCCAGAGTCTTGGGAAGCCTGGGGAAAGTGGCCTCGAAGCAGAGCCTCTGCCCACTTCTGATTCCCATCCCCACTAAGGAAAGGCACCCAGCTGCCATCTGGCCCCTGAGTTGCCACCTTTAATGTTCACAGGCCGCCAGGCACAGGGGTAAGCGCGCTTAGCAAATTCCACCAGGAGACCAGAGAGGACTGCCCTCTGCATTCCGTCCCACAGCCCGGGGCGGGCGGGAGACCGGTGGCCTTGGCATCTCAGCCCTCTCTTCCCCGAGGCCTCCCGGCTGCCATGGCCTCGGCCCTGAAGGATAGGGTCCTCATTTCCTGGCATGGTTCCCTGACCTCGCACCTGGCCCTCACCCCACACGTACCTCCCTCCACTGACCTCCCTGACACCCGCAGCCCCTTTGCTTGCTGGCATCCCAGAATCACGTCAGCCATCGTAGCGTCCCAGCCAGCAAATACTTGTACCAGATCCAGGGTGTAGGGTGCCCCCAGCAAAAGAGGGCTGGTGGCAGGCGAACTGAGCCAGTGAACCCCCGCCCCCCGCCCCCACCAACAAACACACCAATTTGCTGTCAGTTGACATCACTAATTCCTCTTATGCCTCCCCAGGCCACCAGAATGGCAGGGGGAACTGTCTTCCCAGTCCCCGCCAGGCCTCGGAGTGGGGCTCCACCAGGCCCTTGCTTTAGACCTCATGTCTCTGGCTTCAGTTTCCTTCCTGTTTCCACTGCCCCCCCTCCACTCCTCCCCACCCATATGCCCCTTTCAACAGACATCCTCTCCTCCTTCCTTCCTCCTTTCTCCCCCTTTGCCTGGGAGAAGGGGTCCTCTCCCTCTGTGGACCTCCTAGTCTTTTACCTTTCCTAAACACAGTCCCCTTGGAGGTTTGTGACCAAGTCCTCCCCACCCATCAGCAAGGCTCTGGGGAAGAGAAGAACGCAGGACTACTGAAGGGAACTACAACTCCCAAGGTCCATGCAAAGTAATTGTGATGCATACTGGGAGTTGTAGTCCTCCTGGATCTCTGGATTTGGTTAAGTCTGGAAAGGTTCCTCAATGGGAGTGAAAGCCAGGACGGGGATGAATTGGAACATGGGCACCCTCGGAGTGCCCCCCACCTGGTTCTCGCCATCCCATTCCCCCGTGTCACTATGTACCCGTGAATGACATCCATCTCCTCGGCTGAGACATGCTACCCATTCTCACCTTAGGGCCCCACCCAGCAGATGCCCACACCCTGCCCTGCTGCCCCTGACAGAGGCAAAACAGAGGGGCCCCATCGACTCCCTCCCTGTCCCCTGCCCTCTAGACTGGTTCCCTCCTTTATGGGGATCAAAGGGCAGGCAGCAGCCCCACCCCACTCCCTCGCAGGCTGTGGGCACTGGGGCTCTCAGGAATTGCGAGGACTCTGGTGCCCGAGCAAATCCTTGGGCAGGGGGAATGCGGGAGGCTGGCGTCTGGGGGCGGAGGGAGACCCGGCCCCCACCTCAGCTTGTGGAGCCGTCAGTAGCCGCTGGTCGGGCTGTCCGCAGCTCCTGGGCTCGCTGTGTGCCGGCGAGACGCATGTGCTGCCTCTTGAGGCGATGGCTTGAGAACAGGGTCTTGGGCTCTCTGTAGGACGGAGGGGCCCGGGCCTGCCTAGCTGGCACCAAGGCACAGGGGTGACCCTCCCCCACCCCAGGCCCACAGTTGGCATGGGGCACCAGGAGCAGGGGGGCAGGAGGGAGAGGAGGCCATGACTGCCAGCATCCTGGTGGGCAGGTGCCAACCGGGCCGGGAGCTGGTTGAGGGGCAGCAGGCCAGCGGCATTGAGCCAGCAGCTGTTGGGGGGAAGGGGAGGGGATATTTTGGGGGGCATTTCTGTGGCTCCCCCAGCCCAGCAGGATTTGAGATGGCCTAGTGATTTGGGGACACTAGGGCACCCCTCATTCCAGGAACAAGAGACCCCAGGACTCGTTCGAGGGGAACTTTGTGGCCCACCCATCTCTGGGCTCAGAGCCCTCCTGAGTTGCCCCTCAGGCCCAGGCGGGTCCCACCCAACCGGCCAGGGTGGCAGCGGCTTGCGCAAGGGGTGGGGCTGGGCGCTTCCCAGCAGATGCCCCCTCCTGGCTCCTTCCTCTTTCGGCACCCACAGCTCCCCCCATCTGCCCACCCCCCTCAGGCCAGTTCTGTCCCCTTGATCCCCCTGGCCATCGGGGGCTGGCATGAGTGCTGCCCCCTGGCCTGGTTGGCAGGGGCTGGCGCCCGAGCAAGGAGCTGTGGTATGTGAGTGGGTTTGGGGTGAGGCATGGGGAGGGCGGGGTGCTGCCTTGCCCAGCCCCTGAGGGCCCCGGCCCAGTACAGGGTGGGGAGAATTCGGCCAGCTCCCAGGGGGGCTGAGGGTGCCTACTGGGGTCCGGAGGGCCTCCTTGTGGTCCCCTGTCACACCACATGCCCTGAGGGGCTGGGATCTGGGCACCTGTCACCCCTGGCACTGACTGTCCTGGGTTCCCCTCCTCCCTCTCCTGGCCACTGCCACCTCCTGTCCCTTCCCCTCCCTTCCTCCTTCTGGTCCCACCTCCAGCAGCCTCTCCCGCTGCTCCTCCTCACCTCCGTCCTCCTGGACTGTCCTAGCTCCTACCTTTCCTCCCGCTCACCTTTTCCCCTTTAGGACTGAGTGAGGACGGGCGGGGGTGGGTACAGCTGGGGCTTCAGGCACCACAGGCAGAGACTCTAGGCCCTCTCCCACGCTGCCAGCCCCTGGTAACCCCTCCCTCCAACCTGGGGGGAGGGGGGACAGCACCCAGAGGGTTAAGGCTGCAGGGGGGAGGGGCTGGGCCAGGTCGTGGGCGGCCCCTTTGAAGGAGGGAGCTGGAGCGGGGAACAGCCACCCTACCTGCCCCCCACCCCTCCCAAGCTGCTCCCCCCAGGGGCCAAGAGGAGTTACCGGCAGGGACCCTCAGCGTTCAGGTGAGTAGGCCCTGCGCTGGGCTGGGAGAGCAGGCCCCAAGGGAGGCTCAGGGGCCTAGAATTAGCCAAGGGTCAGAGAGGGACTGAAAAGGAGGCTCGGAAG